ATACGGCTCTACTCGCCCAGTAAAGCTAATTCTGGTAAAATTTAATATAAAAGTGTTTTAAAAACTCGTTATAATTAAGAGAAAAATAACTTTAGTTTTGCTAACTTTTTACAATTCTTTTATTATGGTACAAGTACTATTGAAGAAACTACTACCTGCCGAAAGAGGAAAAAAACATCGTCATAGTTTAAAAAATAAATTAATGAGATCTTAATGAATTCTTATCCAGGAATTATATGAGAGCAGGTCAGAGCAAAATGGGACACCGAGTCAATACGGTATACTTTACTCGAAGTAGGCTTTTTTTTACTGGAGTTCATTATTTGCGCTTTCAGTATAACGTACGTGAAAAATTGAGTTAGTTACGGCAATTGAAATATAAACTCACAATTACTGAGATTTGCTAGAAGCAATAATTTCGTTATCAATTGATTAGAAATTACAAATTGGATATTTTTGTATGTCAAGTATATCCTTCTCGACAAAAAAATTGATTTGATTAAAAAAAAATAATGCTAATTCCCAAATTTAACCAACTTTATAGTTCTAAAAATTTCTCTACAATTTTGTAATAAATATTAATGTAAGACACAAATTAACGAATTGATTTTTAACATAAAAAATAGTCTCCTGTTTATGAAAATTAAGTTAGCCGACATCTAAAAATTTTTAGAATTTTTTTTATTGAAGAAATTGTTACAAAAAAAAATTTCATACGTAAAAAACTTGAAAAATTAGAAGTGCAATTTAAAAAAAATATTTTTTAATTGTAATTTAATCAATGAAAAAAAATTAAAAACGTCGGCTAACTTTAGTATTATCTCCTGTTTTCTCAATATCTTTCAAAAAGAAAATAATTAAATAAATAAAATTCCCCATTGAATTCCCTAAATAATCCGAAATCGACCACGATTGCCGTCCATATACACAACACCTATTTGGTGTGTCGGGCGTGAAAAATACGAACAGTCCGGAAACTGGATGGTCGTCGAGCGAAAGAAGGTTACTATTCTACCAAAAAACTCCAAAATAAAACTAACAAAGTTATATCTGTATACAGATATAAAAGTCAAGGGACCTTTTTCGTGTACGTGAGGAAACCTAGCACGTGATAAAGTTCCCAATGACTTTCCGTTATCATCAGTTAATGTAATAAAGAATTCTTGAGGCATTCCTTCGAAACGAGATGACGATTAGATTTTCTCTTTTTTTACATTTGCTGCTCCTTATATCCCCTCTAGTACAATTCAATAGCACTCCTTACAACTTGTACTTATTTTGAAATTAACTTTTAATAGACCATTTAAAGTTGAGGCGTGACCAAGCACGTGCCATGGAGTTACACCAGAGCAACTACCAGGAATCTCATTTTTAATGTCAGTTGACTCAAGAAAGTCAGTTTTGAGCTTTTATCGTAAAACTCTTCCAGACTTAACGATACCGCTGTTGAGATACTGACTTTAAATAAGCACAATGTTTGCATTTGTATGTAACGTTACTTGCATTTGTCTTGCTCGTTACTTGTTACTTGGTATCTCATACTCATACTCAGTAAAACAGGGTCGAAACCAAGGATAAGATACTTGGGGATACTCAACAATCTTTTGAGGTCCACAAAAGTGATATATAGCCAAAGAAACGCCTGAATTGTTTTTTGTAAATTGTTTTTTACGGCCAAAAAACTTTTCTTTTACTTTTTTAGTTCAATAAAAATTTTTTATTAATTTTAAATTCAACATATTTTTGTTTATTACTATGTATTTTGGGTTATTTATTAATTAAAAATCATAAATATAAATACTCAGAGTTTTTTTACGCTTACTAGATACTTTAAATATTTTATTTTATTTTTATTTAGTAAAAATCACTATTTTTTTTAATTAAATAAAAAGATCTTTAATTAATTGTTTAAATAAAAATTAATAAATTTTTTTTTATAAATATTTATTAACTATGATTTATTAATTACCCTTAGGAATATTAGATTGAAATTATTTCAAAGGACAATTGTTAAACTTAAACTGTCCGAGTGATTACAATTGTCAATATTTTTTAAAAGAATATAACAGCACAAATTAGAAGTATTTTTCTACGCGCAGTCGCATTGTGATTTATTGCTTGTCTTGGATCTTCGGGATCGCAAAAGTTATATTTAGCGAATGTAAGTGTAAGTTGGGCGTAGCGATATGTCTATGTAGAGGTATAGTAATGTAAGAGTAAAGAAGATAAGTCGAGCTTAATGTTTTGAAGATAAAATAAGAAAGAAGGATATGAAGAGGAAAATATATTTCATTGTGTAATCCCCACAGGAAGAATGTTGTGCTGATGTCCGTCGCCCGCCCAAAGCGAGATCGCTGAAGTAAAGAATAAGAAGAAGAAAAGGAAAATTTAAAGGAAACGGTGTGAGCTTCATGCTAAAATATTTAGATTCTTCACTGTATTATATACTCTATACTTCAAACTTTAAACTCTACATTTTATATTACACATGTTTTTTACAGTCCAGAGATCAAAGGATACATTGTTATGCATGTTTAATCTTGTTTTAATGCAGGAAAAATTCATTTTAATGGATTATTCTTTAAGCTATCCATGTTCTTTGAATTGTAATGGAGATCTTTTATTTAATTTGAAATTTATTGTAATAATATTAAAAAATAAAAAAATTAATTGATTTTGGAGCCAATTGTTTCGATCCAAAAATTTTTGTGTTAAATTTTGAATAAAAAAATAATTTATTAAAATTTGTTTATAAAATTAAAAACTCACTTAAGAAATTTAAAAATAATTTATTTTTTTTAATTAATGACCAAGTGACAAATTGAATAATGAAAAATGATGAATAAAAAAAAGTACTTTGGAAACTAACCAGCGGGGGATGTAATTCCCGTAAGTGAAAGTGTAGTATGCGCTGCACATGTTCGACACATGGATCAATTTCGAGAAAAAAAGTAAGCACACGGAGATAATTTTATTTTATATTAACCCTAACAATACTTGTTTTGTAGATTTTACTATCTTAGATGGTAATTAATTTTACAAAAGTTGAAATGATAAATATAACAATTTAAATTATAATCAGTACAATAATAAAATAATAATTCCTAAAATAGAGCGATCGTACTATTTACTATCGAGATGGTTACATTTACCATCACAAGTGGTTAAAGTTACCAATTGTATTATAAGTTATTCAGTAAAAGTAAGCACTGAATTTATGATCATAAGTATTTAGGTTGCATTCGAAAATGCTCTATCTCTAGACACATAATTAAGAAATGACCTTGAATTTTGTGAACTATTGACATTTTTTAAGATATAAGCTCATTCCGATGTTACACTTATCTAGATCTTTCATTTAAGTACCCACATCATTTTTTCATATATTAATATATATTATATATATGTAAATATGAAAAATATATCAAAAATGCATGTGGGTACTCAAATGAAAGCTCTTGATGAGTATAACATCAGGATGAGCTTATATCATTAAAAATGTCAATAATTAAGAAATGACCTTGTATCTTGTGAATTATTGACATTTTTAAAGATATAAGCTCATCTCGATGTTACACTCATCACGACCTTTCATTCAAGTACCCACATCATTTTTTCATATATTTATATATATTATATATATGAAAAATATATCAAAATGTATGTGCGTAATCAAATGAAAGCTCTTGATGGATGTAACATCGGGATGAGCTTATATCTTTAAAAACGTCAATAGTTAAAAAATTACAGTGCAATTTAAAAAAACTCATAATAATAATAATAATAATAATAATAATAATAATAATAATGTGGTGTTAAATATAAACTGAAAATTAAAATTAATTTTTTTTTATTCTAATTAATATTAGAAATAACTTTTATTTAATATTATAAATATCAATTTGATAAAATATAAACTCTGATGGTAATAATTATCATCAAAGATTGTAGAAATTATTAATTTGATTTCAAAAATTATTATCAAGATATTTAATCAAATTATCTTAGATAGTTGAAAATACAATCTTATAGTAATATAAAAGATGGTAAAAATTACTATATTGGTGGTAACTGTAATAATTTATATCGTATTTATAATAATAAAAGGTAATATTCATTACTATCGAAGTATTTTAGAGCTTTTTACAATACTCAGATGATAGTATTTACCATAAAATTCTCTCCGTGCAGGAAAATAATATCCCTCGAAAAGTAAACGTCGTGGGGGTCACTACTGTGGTCATAAAAAAAAAAAAGAAAAAGTAGTAAGTAGTGTAAATATAAATAAAGAAAGCCAAGACACTTGGACATATTTATTTATACATAAAGTATCTCTTTATTGCAGCTGAAGTTTGAGTACTTTTTTTTTAAATGTTCTTAAACATCTTCCCAACATAATATAACACTTGGTTCTGTTTATTATCGTCACAGATATTCATTTGCCACCAAGACTCAACTAATCCCTACGGTCGACGCTCGCCGGAGTATTACACATTTTAAACTCGGGAATTCAGCAAGTGGTATTTTGTTTACATGAACCTGTCGCAAAAGCCAGATTGTCGGGGACCGACAAATGAACAGATTCATCTTCTGTCATGGTTTCACTCTATTTAAATGTAATATAGCTTAACCGTTTTTTTATGTTTATTCAGGTGATAATTGTAATATATCGCTTTGATTTATCATTCTTTTGAACGCTCGCATTCGACGGTACAAAAAATACTCGGCTTTTCACGATTTATAGCATGCAATTTTTATTTTTAATTATTTATTTAAAAATTTATTGTGTTAAATATTTAACATAAAAATTTTTAAAACAAAATTTTAAAGACACAAAATTTTTTACTGTGTAATTATACAAGTAATCTTAACAAGGCGAAGAAATATTTAATATTAATAAAGATTATTATAAAATGATAATAATAATTAAAAATTATATTGTAAAATATCTTACGTTAACTCAAAGCAAATTAAAATGATAAGTTATGAGTTATAAATTACTAAATCTAAAAAAATAAAAATTAAAGAAAATTTTTGTGATGGAATTAATTAATTAAATATTGTTTATATATCGTCTCTAGATACTGAAGAACTTGATTTGAATTTACCGTAATTTAATTTTATGTTGAATAATTTTTTGACTTCTTTTTTTTCTAATTAACGCTCAATTTGTTGAATTAAAAATAAAACTTTGTTTATACTGTCAACTTTCACTGTCATCTGTACTTGACGTTTATCCTCAGCTAAGTCCAGTGTTATTTTTTTTTTTTTTTTTTATAGATTAAGCCCAAGATATATTTTTATATATTTTACCGGTTTATGTAAATATAAATATATTTTATTTAGAAAGATAAATTTTGAAAATCAGGTCGAAGCATTCTTTTAATAGACAATTTGCGCGATTAATAAAGATTTACTTTTATGATCGGGATTTTTATTGCAATAATAAAATGCTAGTGATTTATTTCAAAAGACTATTATTTGGGATGAAAATAATAATGTTTAAATAAAAATAAAAACTATTAACTATTTCCGAGCATTAAATATTTAATAATTGTTTATTAAATTGAAATGCATTATAGTTAGTGAATACGCGTTTGTTTATAGTACATATTAATAAACCTTTAATTAAAGCGAAATGTTTATTGAACGAAAGTTAATACGATGTTTAATAAGCGTAAGTAATGTTTAGCTTTAAATAATTTGTCAGCAAAATTTATGGTATCTTTTTCAAAAATTCAATTATAATTAACGAAAAATAAAATTTTAATCCGTTTAATTAAAAAATAATTATTTCAGCATCATTAATAATTTCTGAAAGTGCAATTAATTCAGCCAGTTTTAATTGAAACAATAATTAAAGTCATAAACGCAATGTATTCCTTTGTATGAATATCTATATTTACTTAGCATTATAAATATCAAATTAAATCCTTTTCATGAAATTCACTAAAACAGCATTACTATTTATACAAATATCTATATATAATAACCATGTAATTTGGCTAAAGTCTGGCGGACAATTGAGAATTTCTGGTTTATTATACTGCGATAATCGAGTCGTGATGCGAATACGGAAGTCTGCAGTTGAGTGAATGCAATTTCGGGTCTTTATTTGACAATTAAATTTCACGGATTTTTTTTTATTATTTTTCAATGATATTTTTATTTTTTATGCTATGACTAAACCCATTATCGAATTCATCAAAAATGAATTCTTGGAGTTAAGTTTAAATACAGTCGAGTTACTGCTTTTTTCTCAAGATTATTTGCGCAAAGAAAAGAGCGTACTACCTCGCTTTTAATTTTCTTAATAAAGATTATAAAGAGCAAATAAAAAAAGTAAGCTAAATAATGAATTTACTTACCATATTATCCGTAGCGACGTGACTCGCCGAGTTTCCTGATGGCCGGTTTCCTTGAAGAAGAGCTTCTAAGCTTTCAATGTATTCAATCGCGTTTCTTAATATTTCAACTTTAGGTAGTCGTTGGTTTGGATTGTTACTTGTGCGTCTTTTTAGCACTTCAAAGGCTTCATTAACCTGTAAATACATTTACAAATTTTTCAAAAATAATATCACAGTGCTAAAAGAATAAATTAATTATTGAATTACATACAATTATCGTCTAAAATTTTCTGTGAACTATTATTTAATATTATAGTGTACAATATTACTGTATATAATAAGAAAGGAAGGAAAACAAAGCACTTGTAAAGTTTACCGTGAAAATTAAACCAATAAAAAAATAATTTGGTTCAAGAGAACAAATCTTAACCCAAAAATACAAGATTAGACATTTTTCTTGGTTCAAAAATTTTTTTTCTTGTATCCATCGGAGATTTTAAACGCTGAATTTTGTAGACAAAATATCAATGGGCGTATCAGACCTAATGTTAAAGTTAGATCAAACTCTTTTTATTGCTAAATAATAGTAACAGTAACTCGTAACTCAAATTGTAATAATAAACAGATGCAAATAATGGAAGCTTCTATTTGAATGAATATTAAGTTATAGCGAATTTCATCACATCACCAATCAAGCTAAATGAGATTCTATTCCCAACTGCTGGCAGTACACATTTAACAAGCTCAAGAACCTTCGAACTACTAGTACTCAGATACTATCTAATTATCGAGTTTGATGGGATGATAAGGGGTGTGGAACGGCATACAAACTAGATTTTATTGGGATTCTGTCTACTTAAACTCAAGTTTAATTTAACTCAACGTCGCTTCAAAATTACTTTTAACCGTAAACAATGAGTGTTCCAATCTGACGCGCTTTACTTAATTTCATTACCTTTTAGTATATCTGTATTATTGAACTAGCGACTTTTATCTTAGTTTTGTTGGTCAAAAAAAAATTTCAATGGTCTAATTAGCAATTGGTCTAACTTCTTATTTTTTAGAGGGTGATTTTTTAACATTTTGATGTAACAATCCTCTAATTATAAATTATTTGAACGATCCAAACCAAAGTATTCTTCTATTAGATATTAAATTATTTTTCAAAGTGATAATAAATTTTGAACTAATTGTTTTTTCGTACAAATGGAAGATTCTCTAGAATGAAGTTAGACAATTTAAAACTACCTATTTTGGAAAAAAATGAGGTTGACATGCTTGAGCCAGTACAGAGCGCTATGTAAAAACTACTCTGCACATTACATCTTTCTAAAACACTACTGAGCACCGCACGAAACAGTAATAAATGCTGTTTTTTTTTCTTCGTGCATATCATGCATATAAATTATAAATTATGGAATTTTGCCGTCCTTTGGTATCAAAAGTGGTTCAACCAACCGAATAAACAAAAAGACAATAGACAACTAAAAGAAAACGATCTAAGTAGACAATAAAAAAGGGTAATTGTAATAAAGACATAAAATTTAACAGAAGCCATTACTATATTCGAGTAGTATCGGTAATAAGTTTATGCTTACACTGTTTCCATAGCCAAGTTTTATAGTCTGCACAATTACCAACTTGAGCAGCTCGCAAATAAATTGTTAAATGAGTATTCAAACTAATGTTTTAAACTTTATGGTTGCTTTCAACGGTTTATTATCTCGTAAATGGGTATACATGGTAATGAACCTCGGACATATGTTACACAAGCTCAGCTATTCTATGAATAACTCCCTTTAAATTCCGCAGCGCTCTCTTTTAATTAACAAAATTCTTCACTAATTTTTCTGTTTTTAGAAGCTGTCTAACTAAATTTATTTTTTTTTAATGAAAAATCGGAAATCCATTCAGAATTTGACTTTTTCTAATTATTTTGTTTATGATACATTATATAGCCTGAAATTATTTCCACAAGTACTCAATGCTCATTATTGAACTTCATTAAAAGTTATCTGTCATTAAATTTCAATAAAATTGACCTCTGTAGTTATGGTTTTTAATTCATTACAAAATAAATTAAATTCATTTAAAAGTTGGCCACTTTGTGGAAAAATTAATTAATGAAACTGCTAATTAAAATTTTAATAATTCATTGATTAATGTAAGCAAAGTTAAATATTCAATTACAAAATAATTTTTAACAGCCGTTTAATTAAAAATGAATTTTTGGTAAAAATAGAAATGAAATTATATTTTTAAAAAAATGTCAGGGGACTTGATTAGTTTTTAGGATGTACATGATACATGTAACGGAAAAAAACGTTATTTGATGGAACTAACCTTTCTCAAGCGCCTTCTCTCGCGTAATGTGGCGGCTCTCCTCCTGTCAACAGTAACAGTTTTTTTCTTACAAGCCTTACACGCCCACAGAAGACATCTCCGGGCGCCGTGGGGTGAAGTCGCGTCTAATACATGGGGATGTGGTACATGTTCAATACCCTGCTCACTTTCGTTAGTTTCATCGCCATCTGCCGAAGCCGATTCGGGATCTGCTGACGCATCGGCTGACACCACTGACGAGGCATCGTCGGAGTCTGGTATGTAACGAAATTGAGGTCTGCACACAAAATTACCATAACATCTTGTTAATATTTAGATTGCTTTCAAGAATTCAAATTATAATCTAACATATAGATACAATTTAATTTAAATTTTATACATTTATTCTTCAGAATATTTTCTTATTTTAAAATAAAATATAAATTTTACTCTAAAATGTGTTTTTTTAGTTATTTAATTCAAAAAATAATTTTTGACATTCAATTTTTCATATTTTTCCGCTAATTTTTTGCTTATTTCTATATTTTATCAAGCTACAGGCATTTTAAGGTCCACAGAGATTTATTAAACGTCCAATGACTATTTTATTAATTAATAAAAATGTTGAAGGGTAAAAATGAACCATAATTATGGATTACTGTGGTTTTATCCCGAAAAATATTACAAGAATAGTTAGTAGCGGTGACTAGTGTCATTTCTGCTACATATCGTCCTTAATTATAAGAACAATCCGTCCAAAAAGGATATACTGGGCATTATTATTTATACTAAAAATATAGACCCAATATTTTAATACGATAAGTAGAATAATGATCTGTAGTATACTTGAAGAGTGTATGTATAAAGTGAAAACAGTTTAAAGGCCAATAAACCAATCGTCAGTCTCTCGACACACCAGAGATCAAGTTAATCCTTATACTTATACTTATATCCACTCGACATCGTGATACTGAATACACTTTCGATCCTACTTTCGCTGGTGCACCGATAAATATGTCAGCTAGACAATTCTAAGGCCAAGAAAATAACCTCACAATATTTTATCTTTATTATCTTCTTTAACATCACTAAAAAACTAAATAAATAAACTTTAACAAGGAATAAAAAATCTCGGTATTATTCACTAACATATTATTTACTTAATAATATTTTTCTTTACTTAATTAATGATATTAATATTAGTAACCTAAAGTCACTTTATCACCGAGAATCACGAATTTTAAATCTAAAAATTTTTTGATATTTTTAATCATCACAGAATTTTTTTTTAATCAAGTTAATTATTTATAATTCATTGTAAAAAATTTTGTGTTAAATATTTAACACTTTTATATGTAAATTTAATATTTATTCTGTTAAATCAACACAAAAAAGTGTTAAATATTTAATATAAAAATTTTTTGACACATTGGCGCAAAATTTTTTATAATTGTATGAAGCCTTGAAAGGCAAAAATTTAGATAAAATTTTCTAATGATACTAAAATTAACTAGAAAAATTCAATTTATCATCGGAGAAAAAAATTTTTTTGACGTCTTAATTGCATATTTAAAAATTATTAAAGATGAGGTACAAGTTGACATTATTTAGACCATAAAACCCGATGAAATCATACCGATAGTGGCCAGAAGAAACACTTTCTGGAGAGGTTGAACTGTCGGCACTTCTTGTTCTCGTATGGTGACTATTACGGTCATCATTTCTGACAGGTACATAGCCCTGCAAGAACTCATTGTCCGGATTATTGTAAAAATGCCTACGATGCGAGTGGTATCCGTCATAAGAAGCTCGACTGTCGTACGCATAACCCCCGACGTCTGTCATCAGGGTCATCATTTCACGGTAAAAAATAATATTTTTTCCTTCAAATAATTTATCACTTTTAAAATTCAATCACTGCATTATTGAATTTATAAAATAACACTAAAAAATTCACCAAAGATCAACACATTAAAGTAATAATTTAGAAAAAGCAAAATATTAATTATTAGTGCGTCAGTGTTTACACGAACTGAAAAGCTAAGTAAGAAACGTGAGTAAAAGCTCGAGCTTACGCTAGTACGACACTAGTTGGAGTAATGTCCCCGTCTGAGGCACATGGCCTTACTTTACTTCTTAGTCTTGACTAAAGTTTTAAGTTTTAAGTTTTAAGTGTGTTCATCTGATCTTTGAGCGAAGGTCTCTCTTCTCTCTCGTGATCTCATACCCGAGGTATGCTCGTCTTTTGGCACCCTGGATGCTCCTCCTCGGGGGGGAATACATAAGTGTGGATATTTACGTGTTACATGTGTCACAGTCACAGCCCAGTCCCGACTATTTTTAAAATTCCCGGCCAATTGAAAACTCTGAAAATTAACTTAGACCCACCGCAGGCCCCGCCTACTACCTTGTCATAGATGCATTAGTTTGCCGGAATTTCCTACATGGGCTGGGTCTTAATCATTAATTTAACTTTATATCTTTTAGCTCGTTTGATTTTCGTTATTCGGGCGTTTTAATAGTCTGGTTATACTACGATTCGCATCATTCTTCCACTCACTGATTCATCCTACCCTCAAGCCTCACTTAATTCAGTGAATGGATCAAACAATTCTAACAGATACATTCATTTTACCAATATCTAATTATTTCTGTTTTCTTGCCAACTTAGTTTATTATTTATTTAGAGAAAATCAAAATTTTATTCATTTCTAACTTTTAAGTTATGATTTTTGGATCATATTTTATCCGGAAAAAATTTTTTCTTCAAGCTATATAGAGCCGACTTTAATATCTAGACGTAGAATTACATTTAAAAATATCTTTAGTTATGAATTTAGCTTAAAATTAAAAATACTTGTTTTTATCTATAGATTCTAATAAATTTTTGCATTATTAAAATATATTTAGATGATTTGTACTTGAATTTGTGGGAAAAGTTTAAAAACTACTTGAATTTTTAGACGTACACTGATAAAAGAATTTGTTTAACTTCAAAAATTTTATTAATATTTAACAAATAATTTATTGGAGACCACTTTTTAGTCCTTAGAAAATATTTCTTAGTATTTAAGAAGATTAATTAATATTTAATAAATAAATATCAGATTTATTAAATACAAATAAATTATTTTAAATACTAAGAAATATTTTTAATACTAAAATCTGGTCTCTAATAAATAATTTGTTAAATATTAACAAATATTTTTAACTATAAAAAAAATCAACTCTCTTGTAAAGAGACGATTTAGCGATCATGCGCCATCTGTTAGAAATTTTTATAAGTAAATTTGTTTAAAAAATTGTGTATGGATATAAATAATTATATGAGGTCTGATGAAGGAATATTGAGTCATATTAGGACTTATCAAGTCATATCTATGGCTTAAAATGGCCAATTTTTGTAGCAGGACATATAAAGGCATAATAAAAATTATAAATGGAAATATTAAAAAACTTCTTTATAGGAATTATTTTTTCTAGAATTGATGTATAATGATAGAATAATTGAAAGATCTTAAATTAATTTTATGATAGGAATTGATAAGTTGTAGTAAAAATAAATCAAACAATGAAATTTTTCTGAAGATTAATTTTGATGAAAATGATGACGGTTATTAAAGTGATGAATTAACTTTGCAAGTATGTAAAATGTGAGTAGCAATTTATAAGTTTTGTTTTGGCTTTTGGGGTGTCCTTTTGGTCTTGACGTCTGTCGGCAAAATGTTTAAAAACGTGTAGCGAGTACGTCAATTGAGAAGGTGTGCATGGCAGATTCGGGGAATTAGAATGGTCTATTGAGCGTCGAATAAAATCTAAAATTATCTTGGCAATAATCCAGAAGACCAGACACGGAAAACCGAGTTTGGGGTTGTACATTGCTGGTTATCGTCACACGCCAATCACGGGAAAATTTATACATCTCATTTTTCATTCGACAAACTTTACCGTTCTGTCAATAAAATTAAAATTTTATTTATTCTAGATAGCTTATCTACCAACGGTCTCGTGATTTATTTCCACTGACAAAATATAATATAATAGTGCGGATATTTATTAATAACTCGCGGTAGTTTTTATGTTATACCTACTAGAAAGTTTATTGTGATTAATTTCTTTCGATATTCAATTAAATGTCAATGACAAATTTTTTTTTATTTATAAGGCACATTTTCTCATTTGAATTTTTTTATCTACTATTTAATTGCACTTTTATCAATCATTTAATTTATTAATCAGTAAATTTAAATTAAAAGTAAAAAAATAAAGGACAACTTATTCTTGAAAAAAAAAAAATTATTAAACGTAAAAGGGAATCTAAAAATTGGAAAAGAAAACTAAAAAAAAAAAAAGAAATAAAGAAATTCAAGATTTGAAGAGAGAATATTTAAGAGCGAAAAGAAAAAATTGAAAAACGGAAAATGAAAACAAAAATAGAACAAACTGAAATGCTTTTACTTCAAAATTTTATCACAATCCATCAGCATTAAAGTTGAAGGAATAAAAAAGTTATGTGCAGTCTAAGGGCATCATTACCTTTTGCTGAGATTCTTCCGGCTCAAATTGTCCCGGGACTTAATTTTTTCACAGCTTATTCTACCCGTGAAGCTATACCCATTACATTCGTTTCCGGAAATCTCGTCACGCTATGTTACTAACAGTGGTGAAAACCTGCAGGACGTCAAAGACCACCAAGAATTATTTACATGTACTGATTTTCGTTGAAAAAATAATGTGTTTAATTTTTTTTTTTTTTTTTTTTTTAAAGCCCTATAAAGTAAATTTTATAAAATGCGTAGTGAAAATAGATTTGTTGTGATTTTAATACAAGAATTACATCGATAAAATAATTATAAAAATAACTTTTTGTAAGATAAATGTAATAATAAAAAATTTAACAAATATTAGCAGCAGAACTTATTGATTGCACGAAGGTAATTAATAATTTAAACTTGAGAATAAAATTAAATTACCGCAGGTAAACGACCCCAAGGATCGATTTAAGCTCGACAGTTTTTCCCTTTAAAATTGCCTTTTAAATTAATTAAGACACAGTGTATAAAATATTTCTCTGCATATTCCAGCTTTTAGTGGTTAAGTGAAGGAAATTTGACAGTATTAATCAATAATTCATTTACAGTTTAAACCTAAAACGTTCGTTTATAATTAAAGCCCCAGACAATCCCTTTTTGTGTGTTAGCAAACTATGCAATTTCAAAATGATTCAGGTACTGTACTGCTACTGCACAATACGACAAACTACATTATGTAGCTTCTGCACAGCAATACTGAAAAGCATTCTCATCAAAGAAGATCCATACATTTGAAGTAACGAGTATTTGATGCAATAGAAGAACCAGTTGCAGCGGAGAAGTAAGCAATAAAAGTAAAATTCTTTGTGAAATGAAAGTAACGAGCTTGAAGTTAAATAATTGGATTCAAGCCAAACGTAATAAACTTTGAAGAAATTTCAAACTAAATCTTGACAATTATTGAAGTACACACTACAGTATTGCATTAAAAGTCAGGAGATAATTATAAAAAAAGGTGTTTTTTTTTTTTTTTTTTTTTAATTTTGAATAATCATAGAACGTACCCATCGTAAGTAAACCGCAATATTATGTGGCCACTTTTAACACTCGTTGGTTTTCAGGTACTTTGAGTGTGGTTAATCTACTTACCCTCACATGAGCACACTACATACTAGTATTCAACCGTGAATTTAGCTTTAACCCCTAGCCCTGTGATTTTAAATATACACCCATTTCAAATATGAACACTTGTGTGATTATAATAATTATTATACTTATTACTACAACCGTTTTGCAATATTAAATTGCTATTATGATAAATTGTTAAAAAAGCAGAAAACGTACTAGTTTTAATTTAATTATTAAGTATTACTAACTGAATAATTAATTTTCATTTTAATTTTAGTTAAAACATATCAAAAACTCCTATAAATACAATACAATTGTTTTTGACATTTGGAACAAAGAAAGAATTGAAGTGAATGAAAAATAGTTTTTACTTTAGACTTAAGTGATAACTTTAAGCTGCCAAATATCTTTGAGGCGCCAATCGTCTTATGTCAGCCACAGAAAACTCTCGTACTATTTTATTTTCTGTGGGTACTCTTTAGTACAAAAGCAGAGTGCCACAGCATTGAAAATAATGGCAAACAAACTAAGAAGAAAATGCAAGTATTATTTTCTTTAAATAAAAATGAAGGAGAAAAATAACTTGGATAGAATAGAAGTAACGCATGAATGAGTAAAAGACAGAAGAGTAAAATTTTTCAGAGTTATTGGAAATATCGAGATACATTGCCGTTTAAAACTGGGTCGCGCGTTAAATTTTGTTCAGACCATAAAACATTTAAGCTCACTCGAGACTCTTGTTTTATCTGTTTAGTTTTTAACATTTGTTTATTCATTATGCATTCACTTCTTTATCCTGGATAATTTAAATATTGTCACGTACAATTCTAAAAAAATTCCATTCAGAATAAAAATGTATTGAGGCAGTAGGGTGAGCAGTTATTTGTTTGCTCGTTTATCGTTAGCCGCTAAGTGCAATGTCAACCTTTTATAACAGGAAAATTTTTTACTCAAAGTTATTTATATTGATACAAGAAAAAAAATAGTTTATTAAAATAAAAAAAAACTCCTGGAACGCTGTCTCATATCTCCGAATTTCCACATATTTTTTCCAATCATCAATGTTTTCCAGCGGTTCCATTTAATCTGACCCTTGCGTCGATTTTTTATTGACTGAATACACAAGAAATTTAACGCTCCACAGAAGAGGATAATTAAAAAAAAGTCAACGGTTTGCAATTAAAAATTTTGAAGCTGTCACTAAATTCAATAAAACGACATTTTCCTCTATTTCGAATATTCAAACTTTAGATATTTAGCAATTTAATTCAATACCTATTGAAATTCAATCTATTTCTCCTTAACCCAATTAAAAATAGAACATAAAGCTTGTCAACGTTTTTGAAATCCCGGGTATAATACTAAACGTACATTTTTTATAGCAGGCATCTAATAAAGCCACAAAGCTTGCTCATATATAAGGCTTAAGCCTCAATACAAAGTACAAGCTATCTTGAAAGTTGGAAGAATAGAAGATCAAGTGAGGTTGAATGCTGTAATCTTTCATTTGCATTTGCCTTTAGTCTCTGTGAAAAGAATAGATCGTGAAAATTCCTTGATTTTATTCAAAATATTTCATATAATTTGACAGATATCCAAATTTTGCTGTTTTTAATCTAACTGCTTATGATTCAAATTTTTGATGTGGCTAATAAGCCATATCTGACCAAATACGGCTTTATCTGGTCTTGTATCGTCATATCAGCCTATAGATAAGGGTAAAACAAAATTTATTCCGAAATTAAACATAATTGAATTAATTAAAAACCAATTTTAATAAAGTTTCTTAGGAGGACTTTTATTTTATAACTTAACTCTCTTATAGGGAGACGATTCAACGATTATGCGCCTACTGTCGGAGATTTTGAGTACTACACAGAAAAAAAATGTTCTTGATCGAATCAAGTATATAATTTTGAAGAACATCTTCTTGATTTAAGTAGAAAAATTCTTAAACTAAGAAATTTTTAATTGGTTTAAGTAAATTTGATTCAAGAATTTTTCGTCTTGATTCTAGAGAATTATCCTCTTCAAAATTATTTTTTTGGTTCAAGAATTTTCCTCTCGAATCAAGTTAATTTTTTTTTCAATGTACTTTTGGTCAAAAAATTACATTTTGGCATAACAAATTTTATTTAACTCAAAAAATAAAATTTCCCAAACTAAAAATGACCAATTTGAAACTCCAATTTCCTTCTAAAGATAGCGGCAATATCATTTTCAAATTACAATCTCCATATTTTCGAGTAAACTTTCTCATCCGTTTATTTATCAGCTCCTAACAAGAAATAAAGACTTGAGAACACATTGGCACGAGCTGGTGTAGCACAAACTGCTACACTAGGTCGTCTGGTCGTGGTCGGGCTCGTCTCCGGTTTAGCTTGGCAGCTCAACACCGGGTGTTCCCCAGAATAAGTACCAGTGCTAGGTTTTAGGGTGGGGAACTTGCCAAATTGCTATGTATACACTACGAAACAACCTCCTACACACATGGATATCATATCTATAACATACAATAGGGCGTTCTCTTTTTTACATACTAGAGAACTTGCACACCCTGCAATCACATCCGTACTGGAACGGTTTCGGAGCCATTCGGGTTGTGTTCGTGTGTCCTCGCGATATACACACTCACATAGACACACACCCAATACTAGCACGCGGAAGGTTGAAGTAGAGAGTAGAGAGAAGAGAATCTAGCAGAGGTAAACCCAACTGAGCCAACTGGCGACCCGATGATGATAGAGATAGAAAACGGGTCACACGCCCTATCTCGAAATTCAGTAGCTCGTTCTCTCTTAGTTGCTACTACACCCTGTACCGTACCCTACTTATTCCAGTTCCAGGATATTCGGCAAACAGGGATACTCTCACTCTATCTATCTAGTACTGGTGAACCTCGAAGTTTATACGGGTGAAAACCTCGCCCCGTTTATATTTACCGCCGAAATCTATGACGGAACCTCAGGAGTCGTAACCCTTAACCCTTTAATCTTTATCTCGTGACATTGGACGTCCCTTATGTCCCTTTAGTTTATAAGCTCCGCTGGGCGACTACCAACTTTCTTAAATTTTATCTCGCTCAAGTGCTTTACGACAGCTAGGAGTGACGCTTAGCTGTCTTACGGACAGAATAGAATTTTTTTCCGGCGAGACTCTAGACTTAACGTTTATTGCATTACTTGGAAAAAAATTTGTAACGAATTTATTGCAGGTTTTATGCCTCGTCTATTAAACTGACATTTTTTTCCCCGATAAGAAACGAGATGATAAGTGAGGGGTTGCAAGAGTAACAATGGAAAATGCCAAGGAGGTTTTTTGGGTTGGTTATTAAAATGTCTTGGGAAAATTTTGATTGATATTTACATCTGAAAATATATTGCCCGATTGGGCAATATAACAAGATTTTGTTATATGGCTTCTCCATAACGGGTTTTATTTTTCATACGTATTGAATTATTTTATATTCATGCTCTGCAGCCACAAATAATTATAATTATCATCATTAACGTTTCAATGTTCAACATGACTCTTCACTCAGCAATCTAACAATTAGTACTTAGTTTAGTCATACCTGGCTGAGGTAATAACATCAAAAATCCATCCAGGTATGCACATTATCTCTCAAATCTTTGCTAAAATATTCTTTATGACTGCAAATTATTCAGTTTACGTTTGAACTCCGTACTAATGTAACACCTCCCCAATTGTAATCAAGACTCTTAAAAACACAGTCCAGTGTAGTTAAAAAAATGCAGTGTATAAATTTGAACAAAGTATACCAATACTTTTTGATACTTCAATATATTATTTACAAATTTGTTGGATTGTCCACCTTGGGCTTTGAAAGAGTCAAAAATATCAAAACAAAACTGCAGAATTAATCAAATTCAAAACAAAATCTGCAAATTTTCGTACATCGGATCTGGCTACAACGTTTTTTTGGTGTTAGTATATGCGCTGTATAATTTTTACTATCTATTTTTTCCCGAAGAAGGTGAGGTTAGTGTCATTGGCAACCAGACTTATGTGAAGGTCATGAACGTGGCTTCGTTTATCACAACCCTGAGTGTTAGCTGAATTTTGATCTTCTTTGTTTACACACAGAAATCTTTGATAAACATTATTGATCGGTTGATCAGTGTCAATCAAAAATTGAGCATAAGTGCGGATTCTTACTCAAAAGATTTTTTGAGTTACTTCATTCTCATTACTATAACTTTTTAGTTTCTATTGTGAAGATTCTGTTAGAGCTGCCAGATTCGCCCTGTCCACAAATTTTGCTAATGTGGTCTGCAGTTGGATAATTGTGCAATTCACTCTGCTTCTGGGCATTGTTGGCAAGCAGATCGAGGCGGTCAATTTATCTATCAATAAAATAGATGATGTCAGAAGTGATCTTGCTCAAATTCCTGCATTGAGGGTCAATAGATTGTTAGAGGATGAATCTGCTTGTCGAGAAATTAATTACATCAAGAGAATTTACATTGAATTGTGGGAAATTTCTGGAGAAATAAACAATTTGTATGGACTAACTGTTTTGATTTCTCTCCTGCTCTTTAGCTTCGAGATCATTGTCAGTTTACACATGATATTCACACTGCCTCTTCTAAAAGCTTTAAGCTTTATTTTTCTCCATATTGCGACAGGAATGATTGCCCCTTGGAGAATTTTTTTGTTTTTTGGTGCTAACTTCTGCAGTTTCCAAAACTACCGATCTGGTATGGTTTTATAGGATCTATTAATATTAATATTTTTTATTGATCAATTGATTTTTAATCATGATTTTCAGAGTAAAAAAACAGGGCAAATTATTAGCTTACTGTCAAATCGACGTCCGATAAATCCAAAAGTCAAGGAACAGGTAAAAAAAATTTTTATTAAAAATAAATTCAAATGAAGTAAATTTTATTTTTACTTGTAATTTCAGCTGTATAAATTTTCGAATGATCTTTCGCATTTTAAAATAGAGTTTTCTGCTTATGGAGTTTTACCATTGAATCGAGATCTCTTAGGAATTGTAAGTTCAACGCTTCAAGTTCTGATTTTTCTCGTAGTGAAAATTATTTTCTTAATTAATTAATAATATTTTTCAGGCTTCTGGAACTATTGCAACGTTTCTAACCATAATTATTCAAGGAGCAGGTATTCTTCGAACTCTGCCTTCTGATGTAAATAAATATGAATCATAGTTTTCTTATTTTATTTAATTCAAGTAAATGGAAAGAAATCCCATTTAAAAAAAAAAAAAAAAAAAAAAAAAAAAAAAACATTCTTTTTATTGTATTCAAATTAATTCAATAAATACAATAGAATATTATTAATAAAAATATTTTGTTACTTTAGCTCACAAATATGAATTTTTATAAAAAATGTGTTGAAATTTAATCACAAAGAAATTAAATTTTCCAATTAATTATAAATAAAAATAAAGTGACGTTAGCATTGAATACAATAGACTTCATTTTATTAATTAATATTCAATAAACGGGCTTAATTGCAAATGTAACAGAAAATAATGAAAGGAAAAGTATTTAACGAACTTATCAAGAGCCAGATTTTAATAGCTTTCAATTTTTCCGGCCTGACGTTATTATCAACGAATTAAAAATCCCCTGTAGCACAAGCAGTGGCGCTCATGCTCATGCTCATGCTAAATTGCTCTATCACTCTGTACTAATGCACTATCGACGATCAGACTTTACGGTTGAAGATTAAAAAAATAAAACAGTAATTATTAAAATAGTCCGGTATCGGAAATTTCCATATCACGGTTAAATAAAATCGAATATAATCTCATTTGTAATTTTATTACTTTAATAGATTGAGCGTGAGCTTGCTAGAATGAAAAAAGCTTTAGATTAATTGATAATTATGAGAGTAAAAATTTGAAATATATCTCAATAGTTTGTATTTTTTTTTTTTTTTTACTGCACCAACAGCATGCCCAATTGTACCCACTTAATAAAAGCCAGTGCAATTGAACTAAACACAAAAGTTTGATCAACCGACTGTAAAGAAAAATAGTGTGTTGTATATATAAAGCACTTTAGAGACTTTGAAGAACGTTGAGATTGAGAGGACTTTGAAATCCTTCAGTTACGTAACAATTTATCGATTGAATGGATTTGAAATAAAGTAAAAAAGAATTAGAACTTTTTTTTGGGATTTATTCTATTTCCGAATTGATTTTTGGAGGTCAGTTAAAGTGCTTTACGCTGAAGATATTTTATAGATAGTGAAAAAAATGGAAGACTTTTTTGAAGCAAAAATTTATTACAATTTTACAAACTATGATAATAATCGGTTGAATTTTTAAAGAGGACAGCATTAAAAGGTTTAACTAAACTGAAATAATTTTACTAATTGAGAAGAGTTAGAGAAGGATAAAAAAAATTTAAGAATAAATGAGAAATATTATAAAATTTACAAGTTAAATTTTTTCCGGGGTTCGTTCAATAGTAGTGGTTAAATAATAGAAGAAGATAAAAGTATATGATGGAGGTAATATTTACATTTATGCTAAGCTATCCAAATACGTAATACACTTTAGGATATCATCTTTGGCTATAACAACGGAGTGTCGCCAGGAGAATTGGAGGAGAATTGCGTGACAAAAATTATTCGCCGTACCTTTGTGTGTTTAACAAATAAAAAACAAACCCAAAATTTAATCTTCAAAAAGGTGTAATAAACCGATTCAAGTATTGAGTGTTTCCTTTATTTGTTTTATAAAATTTAAAATGTTAAAAAATAGTAAAGTTCTAGAAGCTTTATTAATTATTAAGGTTTTAAAATCTTTTTAATTTTATTATTGCTGATATTTTTTTTTTTTTTTTTTATTTAAAAATTAAGGTCGCTTCAACTTCAAGGTCATTAGCGACCGCAATACTTTACATTGAATTTTACATTATTTATTTAATAATAATAATCAGTTAAATGGAATTAAATAGTTTTGTTATCTTTAAGAATTCTATGATTTTAGATATTTGATCGGGATTATTTAGACTTTCGTGGAGTATTTCTGGGATGTTGAGAGTCCTTCGCTGATGTTCCAATGCTTGGCAGTCGATTATCCAGTGATATATTGTTGCTGGTTGTAATAAGCAAAATTGGCACAGTTTTGCTGATATTGAAGTAAAATAATAACAGGAAAAATAATGATATAAAAATTAAAGTCATCTTGAAAAAAGTTTCATTTCAATTTGCTCCAGCACGAAAAATTAAATAGATGGAAGAGAAGAAACAAGAAAAGAATATGAAAGTCTGTATCGTAGTACCTTTAGAGTTTCATATCTTTTCCACCTCATTTTTCCCATTTTTACTGCGTATCCCCTCGCTATACACACTAGGAGCCCAAACGACCCGATATATATCCGTTATCGTTGAGAAAAATGAATGACGTCGATAACGGAAACGACATCATGTCTCTGGGATTATAAAATCAAAGTACAAAAAAATAGAATTTAACCACATATAAGAAAGTAAAAACGAGAATGAAAATAGAAAAATTACTGAGTTGAACGTCTTGAGCTCCAAGCGTTTCTTTCAGTTCAATTGATTTCGTAAAAGTGCATTCTTTCGGTAAAATAACTTTTATAAAATTATATTGCTCTGAATTTTTTAAATTAGTTTATTTAAACTAGCAACATATCCAATTAGTGAACTAATTAGGACATTAGGTCGTTCATTAAAATTTAATCAAACTCTCTGGCAAATACGGAACGTATGTCTGACCGAAATTAAGCTCACTGCTGTGTAACATTGTCAGGTTTTAGAGATTAATAAACTTCCAATAAAGGGCGCAGTATTGAAATCAATGATGCTAGATTCTAAAATCTGGTAAAAAATAAAATTATCTTGCCTATGAAATTCCATTATTTAATTAAAAACTCAACAACAATTATCGATTAAATTTTAATTAATTTTTTCTGCTTATTTATTTATTAATTTATAACTTTAAATTAATTATTAATATAGCAGTTTAGAAAATTGAATATTTGAGCCTATATTTAATTAATAATTAATATTAAAGTATATTTTATTGATGTAAGTCCGTTGCGACATAAATTACAATTTGCATTCAAGCTGATCAAATTAATAAGTTTCCAACTCTATTGTACTAAACGCCCGAATTCCCACATTGTAAGCATTGATATTGAATCCATTATAATTATCCAGTAAAGTCCATTATAATAACTATTACATCAATTATTCAAAGCTTCCACAATATCTTCCGCTCATCTGTTTATTAGTTGAAATGAAAAAATAATAATTAACAATCCTCACGCGATTAGTGTGACATTTTTCCAGTTGTACTAAAGACTCTTGAGAACACAGTTCAGTTTAGTTAAAAAAAAAAAAAAATGCAGTGTATAAATTTGAACAAAATATACGGATACTTTTTGATTTTTCAATATATTGTCTACAAAATTGTTGGATTGTCGCCTTGGACTTTGGAATTGTCGAAAATAAAACAAAATTTGTTTTTGTCAAAACAAAACTGGAGAATTAATCAAACTCAAAACAACATCTGCAAAATTTCGTACGTCGGATCTGGCTACAACGTTTTTTTGGTATTAGTATATGCGCTGTATCATTTTTACTATCAATTTTTTTCCGAAGAAAGTGGCGGTAGTATCTTTAACAACCAGACTTATAAGATGATCATGAACGTGGCTTCGTTTATTACAACCGTGAGTTTCAGCTGGATTTTTATCTTCTTTGTTTCTACACAGAAATCTATGATAAACATTATCGACCGGTTGATCAGTGTCAATAAAAAATTGAACATAAGTGCAGATTCTTACTCAAAAGATTTTTTGAGTTACTTCATTGTCATTACTAACTTCTTAGTTTCACTTGTGAAGATTCTGTTAGTGCTGCCAAATTCGTCCATAAGTTCCGTTCTGTCCGAAAATTCTTCTAATGTGGTCTGCAGTTGGATAATCGTACAATTCACTCTGCTTCTGGGCATTGTTGGCAAGCAGATCGAGGCGGTCAATTTATCTATTAAGAAAATGGACGATGTCAGAAGTGATCTTGCTCAAATTCCTGCATTGAGGGTCAATAGATTGTTAGAGGATGAATCCGCTTGTCGACAAATCAAGAACATCAAGAGAATTTACATTGAATTGTGGGAAATTTCTGGAGAAATAAACAATTTGTATGGACTAACTGTTTTGATTTCTCTCCTGCTCTTTAGCTTCGAGATCATTGTCAGTTTACACATGATATTCACACTGCCTCTTCTAAAAGCTTTAAGCTTTATTTTTCTCCATATTGCGACAGGAATGATTGCCCCTTGGGGAATTTTTTTGTTTTTGGTGCTAACTTCTGCAGTTTCCAAAACTACTGATCTGGTATGGTTTTTTAGGATCTATTAATATTAATATTTTTTATTGATTAATTGATTTTTAATTATGATTTTCAGAGTAAAAAAACAGGGCAAATTATTAGCTTACTGTCAAATCGACGTCCGATAAATCCAAAAGTCAAGGAACAGGTAAAAAATATTTATATTAAAAATAAATTGAAATAAAGGAAATTTTCTTTTTACTTGTAATTTCAGCTGTATAAATTTTCGAATGATCTTTCGCATTTTAAAGTAGAGTTTTCTGCTTATGGAGCCTTACCATTGGATCGAGATCTCTTAGGAATTGTAAGTTCTGATTTTTCTCATAATGAAAATTATTTTCTTAATTAATTGATAATGTTTTTCAGGCTTCCGGGACTATTACAACGTTTCTAACCATAATTATTCAGGGAGAAAATGGTAGTCATACTCCATTTGGTGCTTCAGATTAATATGAATTATAGCTATCTTATTTAATTTAATCCTTAATTAAAAAGTTGATGTGACGTTTTCATTGTTGTCGCTTTTGGTTACCATTAAATATCAATGAATATAATTTGTAAAAATATTGATTATATAAATTGTCGATAATAAATAATTTGACAGAAGTGCGCAAAGCGCGTTCGATTTTCTAGTTCAAGTAAATTAAAATTATTTTAATAAATCCAATAGAATATTATTAATAAAAAATATTTTACATCTTTTCCTATAAAATGAAAATTTTATCATGGAAATTTAAGTTCATAATAATTACAATAATTCTTCAGCAATTTAACCTCATTATTGATAAAGGGTTAAAAAAAATTTTTTTTAAGTATTTGTCCATTCAAGAAGAAATTAGTCTTCTACAAACTGATCCTTCAAAAATTTCAATGAAAAACGGAACAAGTAAGTATTTTTTTAACTTTGAAACGTAAAAAAATACAAAAATAAAATTTTATAAATTTTTAATGAACGATAATTCGTAAATTTGCTGTAGAAAAAAAGAAAATAAAGAAACAAGATATCGATTTTTTTGCCCAAAAATAGAATGACACTGAAGTTAGCAGACGTCTAAAAATTTTTGATTTTTTCTATTAAATAAATTACAACTAAAAAGATATTTATAAAAAATTGCACTCATAGTTTTTCAAGTTTTTTACAAGTGAAATTTTTTTTTTAATTGTTTAATTGAAATTTTTTCAATAAAAAATTTCAGCTAACTTCATTTTCATAAAATAGATCGGCTGCCCAATTTTAAAACACAGTAACTGCAAAATTTTTTTATAATTGCTGCATTTTTTACATCTTTTAAATCTTAATTTAAAGCATTTTTTCTTAAAAATATTTATATTCAAGTACTTTCTACTCATAAATAAAATTTATTATCAATTTGGCGTGCAAACTTTTTTTTAATAAGAAAAATTTTAAAAAATTTTAAAATTGTCAATTACTGTGTTTTAAAATTGGGCAGCCGAGATGGCGATTTTAATATAAAAAATTACCTATATAAAATTTTATTTAAAAAAAAACTTAAATATTACATTTTATTTGATACCTCGAAACATATGACCTAAAACGTTTGAATAAACCTGTCTGACCAATTGTACACTCGTTCCACTTACTCTACTCTTGAGTCCACGCGACATACATACTCACGACTGGTATATATACGTATATATACAGCAAACTGTCTGAAATTAGCAGTAACGGTGGCTTGTAACGCTCACCTTACTATCACTCTAAAAGCCAACCCCCTCGGGGCATTTACTATAAAGGTCACGTGTCCCCAATGACTAGATCATGCAGTTCCGCATTAACTGTAATGTCGACACCTAAATGTCAAAGAATATACCACGAGTTATTAATAAAATCTTCTAATTATATGCTTACAATTATTATCTTGTAATAATGTATTAAATAAAAAATTTATCTCGGGTTTATAGCTTGGAGCAAAAGTTTTCAGCTTTCAGATGCAGCTTAAGAAGTAACCGGGGTGGATAACGAGATGTAGGCGAAGCTCTGGCTGACCGAGTAGAAGGCCATGACGAAAAGAGGGGCTGAATTTAGACAGAGAAGGGGTGGCTCTGTTGCGGGCTGCTGCGGCTCGGGCGCGACAGTCCACCCTCAGCCATCGCACCGACTTATTCGCATTCTCGTTTTCTCAATCACTATTATACGTGTATCTCCACGTATATATACGACATATGTATGTACGTTATAAAGCTTACTCATATTTACGATAGACCGATTGTAGATAGAACTCGCAAGCTTTTAAATAAGAGTTACTTCGATAATCAACTGCCGTTTTTGTTTTTAACAGTGAAGTGATTGACAAGTGTGTTTTTAATAGCAACAAAAAGTTTTTTGGTCATTATTTAAGTGAGTACCTGGATTAATTTTGCCACTACTGATAGAAGCGTTTTTTACGGTGGAAAGTATAATTGGATATTTAAAGTTTGAAGTGTGCAAAAATTTTTAAAATTGATTTGAAAAAATAATCAAAATTTTATAATCTATATTATTAAGAGAATAAGAAAAATTTTGTGTCCAGGATAGTCATAGGATAAAATGGGTTTTTTTTAGTGAAATTTAGTGTCATTGTAAAGGTCTTAACTTGAAATTGTGCCTTTTAAAGGTTTTATATCATTCTCACCGATAGTCCTTTTAATGACCTTTTATCTTGTGAAATATTGACATTTTTAAAGATATAAGCTCATCCCGATGTTACTCTCATCGAGACCTTTCATTTGAGTACCCACATCAATTTTTCATATATTTTATATATTTATATGTATATATGAATATATGAAAAATATATCAAAATGCATGT